AAGCTTCTGTAATGCAAAGGACACAGTCAACAAAACAAAAAGGCAGTCCACAGAATGGGAAAAGATATTCACTAACCCCACATCTGACAGAAGACTAATCTCCAAAATTTACAAAGAAGTCAAGAAGCAAGTCTCCAAAACACCAAAGGATCCAATTAAAAGGTGAGGTACAAAACTAAATAGAGAATTCTGAATAAAGGAGGCTAAAATGGCAAAGAGACACTTAAGAAAGTGCTCAACATCCTTAGCCATCAGGGAAATGCAAATCAAAACAACTCTGAGATACCATCTTACTCCTGTCAGAATAGCTAAAATCAAAAACACCAAAAATAATTTATGCTGGAGAGGATGTGGAGAGAGGGGAACACTCCTCCACTGCTGGTGGGAGTGCCAACTCATACAGCTACTTTGGAAAGTAGTATGGAGATTCCCCCAGGAAAATGGGAATTAATCTACCACAGGACCCAGCAATTCCACTCTTAGGCATACACCCAAATGAGGCAAATTCATACAACAAGGGCATCTGCTCCACTATGTTCATAGCAGCATTATTTGTAATAGCCAGAACCTGGAAGCAACCTAGATGCCCCTCAACTGAAGAGTGGATAGAGAAAATGTGGTACATTTACACAATGGAGTATTACTCAGCAGAAAAAAAACAATTGAATCTTGAAATTCACAGGTAAATGGATAGCACTGGAAGAAACCATCCTGAGTGAGGTAACCTAGTCACAAAAAGACAAACATGGTATGTACTCACTCATATATGGATTTTAGACATTGATCAGGATAGTGCCAGTCTGCACTTCCACTGACAGAGTCTGGGAAACAGGAAAGAACCTGAAAGATATGCATAGTACCCAAGAGAAGAGGTATGAGTCAAGATCCTCTGAACAGATGGGGAACAGGGCGAGGGGTGGGGGGTAGTGGGAACTGGGAAGAAGAGAGGGGGAGAAGAGGAAGAGAGAGTAGGTCATGGGGGAACAGGAAGGTTCAGTGGGGGGGGGTAGAATAGGGGGAAGAGGGAATCATAGGTTAGAAGACAGATCAGGCACCATTGTGACGTCTGGTGATCTGAAGGGATGACACCAATTGGCAAGCTGGGCAATAGTGGAGAGACCACCTTGAATGCCCATTCCTGATAATGAACTTGATGTCTATAACCATCCGAGAGCCTTCATCCCGTGACTGATGGAAGCGGAGGCAAACACCCACAGTTAAACACTGAACTGAACCCAGTGACAAAGAAAGAGGAGCGATGAGCAAATTGGCAAAGAATGAGCTGGCAAAACCAGCAGAGACAGCTGATCTGAACAGGGGAGAGCTCTTGGACCCCAGACAGACAGTGGGGAGGCCAGCATGGGACTGATCCAGGACCCCTGAATGTGAGAGTCAGTGAGGCCTGGGCAACCCATAGGGCCCTGGGCAGTAGATCAGCGTTTATCCCTGGCATACAAAAGGACTTCGTGTGTCCATAACACAAAGAGGGATGCTCTCTCAGCGTGGACTCTTAGGGAAGTGTCTGGACCCTGCCCTGAGTTAAATGACAGACTCTAGATATCCCCTATGTGGAAGGAAATGGTGATAGGGTGGGAGGCTGGAGAGGATGGTGGGAGGGGGGGTTTGGGAGGAGGGGAGGGAGAGGGAACTGGGATTGACATGTAAAACAAGCTATTTAAAATTAAAATAATAATAAAAAAACTGCAGCTAGGGCTGAACTTCGACAGCCATGGCATCAGCCGGGAAGGTGGTCTTCTTTGGTTTCCAGGATGCAGCCACCAAAATTCTTAGGAATCTGATTAACATCGAACCACGCTGGATGTTTGCCTTGGACAGTATCACCTGAAAGGCTGTGTAAACAGCTATTACCATTCTGGTTCTGCAGTGAAGGCCGCATTTTAGACTTACATCTGAGAGTGACACAGCCGATCCAGAAGACTTGAACGTGAGGTATCATCTTCAAATCAAACTGTCCAAAGACTTCAGGCCATCACTGAGGATGCTGTAGCTACCTGGACCGGGGGCGGGGTGGGGGCACGGTAAGCCTGCTCAGCTTCACTGTACTAATTCCAAGAGTCCCACATTGCTCATGGTCCCTGAATGAGCAGCTCAGAAGGATGAAAATAGAAACTAATAGATGACTTGAAGAGTTAGCTCAGAAAGAAAGTTACAAGCACTCCTTAATTAAGCTATTGAAGAAAAAGACCAAGAGACTAAACACCTGGAGCTGAAGTCCCAACCGGATAGATATCCCTGGGTTTCCCATGAGCCACCTGAACTGCCCTGGCACAACCATGGAAGATTCTGAACTTACTGGATGGCTGAGAGAAAACGGAGCTGATGAGGACGCTGTAAGTCAGTTTCTGGCTGAGGATTCCACACTAGTGGATGCACTCTACTATGATGTAAGTAATGACTGGAAGGACCTCAGACTAAGTGGAGGGATGCTGTGCATACTGTGGAAGGCCATCGTTGACTTTCCTAACAAATGTGCCCGACTGCTGCTGACTGAACCTTCAGTGGAGACTCTGAATATTACTACAGGACTACTGCTCTCCTTGAGGGAGCAGAACTGAAGGGCAAAGAGAAAGGAGCTGCACTCTAAATCCAGTGTTTGTTCACTCATGTAAAGAAATAGACATAACGCTCAGAAATCTACTTATATTTCCACAACTTCCTAAGGACTCTTCAGAAAGGCTTTCAAAATCATCCTAATTAGACTTCTAATGTTGAGGATTGTTTTAGTATGCACATTTTGATGGAGATACTTTTAAGTCAACAATTATTGCATTTCAGTCCAGTGTTTATCACAAACAGACAGAACATTTTGCATGACTGTGTACCACTGGAACAAAACCAAAATGTGACCACAACTTTTTAGGATTCTCTGTGTATATAATATGCCCTAAGCATCTGAACAGAAATGAACAACTTGGATGGTTGCAGAAAAAAAAAATTTAAGTGTGCATAATCTAAGAGTAATGGTTTCTATTCTCTGTGCTAATTGTCATATTGACTGTATTTTCTAACTTAAGTTTCTGGCCCGAGAGTGTTTGTTAGAGGTGTTTATGTACTACTGAACTACACCAGTTCTCATGCCTAGATCATAGTGAAGTTAGCTTGTTATAAAGCTACCCACTGTTCCATATTTACCCAAAAAGTAAAAAGATTGCCAACATGTTACTTTGATAAATTCCAAAAAGCTCTTTTTAAAAAAAATGGTAGCTAAAATGTGCTTTACTCTAGTTTTTAGGTTCATTTCTCCACATAGCTATAGTATAAAATTTTCAAAGCTTCAGATATTCTAGGATTTGTCTAACAAATAAATATACTAGAGACAAGGACATGTTCCTGTTGTAAAAGACAGGAGTAGCAGCCCAGTTAAAAGGGGGCTGAAATGAATCTCATGAGGGTCCATTGGATTCAGAGGCAAAAAATAACAAATCATGCTGCTAACATACACATTTCAGATGAGCAAGTATAGAAATAAACACACAATCATATATTTATGTATAATTCTGTCTGCTGAGAGGATCTATGAAAAGTGGCAGCCCTGCTCTTACAAACATACCTAACACCCAGATCTTAATTTACAAAGGCCAATATGCAACAATTGTGTAAAAGATGCCTGACATCATTAATATTCAGGAAAAGACAAAGTCAGCTTCAGAGAGATGCCAGTGAACAACTGTCAGGACCATGACTTAGAGTATAGGATGTGGAACTGGATGGACATGATTGCTGATGGAATGTCACGGTGTGGAATGACTGAAAAAGTCAGATACGTGCTCCCAGGGCTGGTGGTCTTAGGTTCTATGAGCAAGCAGGCTGAGCAAGCTATAGGAAGCAAGTCAGCAAGCAGCACTGCATCAGCTCCTGCCTCTAGGATCCTGCTGTTTCAGTTCTTTCTGTCCTAAAGTCCTTCAATCATGGACAGCAATATGAAAGTGTAAGCCAAATAAATTCTTTTCTCCACAGCTTGCTTTTTGGTCATGATATTCCATTGCAGCAATAGAACAACTAATTAAGCCTGTATTTATGCTGTGTACCTGTGGAAAAAAAGAATGCTTCTGCTATACACAATATAAATGAATCCCAGCCAGGGTGCTGAGTGAAAGATACTAGGCACAATGCAGAGCATGCTTTAAGATTCCATTTAGCTGGTGTCTTAATTAGGGTTTCTATTGCTGTGAAGAGACACTATGACCATGGCACCCCTTATAAAAGAAAGCATTTAATTGGGGCTTACTTACTGTTTCAGAGGTTTAGTCCATCATTTTCATCACAGCATACAGGCAGACATGGTGCAGGAGAGGCAGCTGAGAGTTTTACATCTAGATCTGCAGGCAGGAGGAAGAGAGAATGAGCCACTAGGGCCTAGCTTGAGCTTGTGAAACCTCAAAGCCCAACACACTTTCTCCAACAATGTCACACCTCCAATAATGCCACTCCGTATGAGTCACTGAGGGCCATTTTCATTCAGACTACCACAGCTGGGTTCCTAGACTAAAATAATACAATCAACACTAACCTATAGAGATGTATAGATCAGCAGAGGCTGTGAAGAATAATGTTCTGATGAGGTTTAACAAGAAGTTCTGAGTATATACTCAGTAGCAAGGAAACTTTTTAAACTGGTAGGCACATAGTTTATGAATTTGTTTTAAAAATGCTTAAACTGTATAATATACAATAATTTCTAAAAAACAAACATAGATTTCTAAATGAAAGGAGTGTTTCAGACTAAAGAATAGCAATACACACAAGCAGGGTTCCAGTAGCCATCAAACAACCACCAGACCATAACACCTCTGGGCAAGTCAGAAAAGACAGAAGTAATGAAGCTTGGACTCACACCATTATCCAGAGGGAGGATTAGTATTTTCAGTTTATGTTGTAAATTTCAGTCACCTCAGAGACACAAAGTCATCAAACAATAAAATGGTCTCTTGGGATAAATATTAAACAAACCTCACAGAATATGTGTTTTTGTCTTGTAGATAAACTCACCATTGTGCACCATCCAAGTGGTAAGTGTTAAGTATTAAATTAAGGATTAAAACTACAACAAAGTATGCATTAGATGTTTATAATTGATATAAACCTAGTAGCTTTGTGTTGGTGTACAGCTTTGAATAGCCTGCATGTTCATGTGCAAAACCATCTGGCATCAAATACAAAAGTATGGTGCCTCTATAGCAGCAAGGGGTATCTCATCATAACGGAGAAAAGGGGCATTGTGGTTTGACTAACTATGTCCTTTGGCATCTAATTAAAGCTCTCGGTCTTCATCTGTTTTTATTCTTTAATTAGCAAAGGAAGTGTTCGATAACATCATGGCATTTTCAAACATGATTTGTCTTTGCTGACCATTGTCCCCTCTCTTCTGCCCTACCCATCTGCCCCCCTTATATACTGCCCCCTCGTAGCCTCCTTTCCATTCTCTTGGCGTGTTTGCTCGATTGCTCTCACTCCCCTTCTCAACACCGTTTCATGGTCCTTTTCTCGTTTCACAGCCTAGCTCAGTATATATGCATGGAAACATTAAGAGCCAGGATCAACAGATGAAAGTTAGCACCTACGGTTTTCCCTTGGGTTCCTGGGGGGCGGGGTTCTTAGAGAGCTTTTCACTTCCTTCCTTCTGTTTATTACTACCTATGGTTTGATTTGATTTGGTTTTTGAGACATTGTGAGTAAAATGTTTTCTCCAGATTTCTTCCTTAGAACGTTTGCATTAATATATATGGGAAATGATGGCTTCTGGCTGTTGGTTTTTGAATCCTGCAACATTGTGCAATGTGTTTATTAGATCTCAGGTTATTCTGGTGGAGTTTGTAGAGTCTTTTAGCTAGAGAACTATGTTGTAAATGGGAATAATTTAACTTCTTTTCCTATTTTTAATCTTTTTATGTCTTTATCTTGTCTAATTTGTCTTAACATAGTGGAGTAATTACTCTTATCGTTCCACATATTTTAGAATGGATGCTTCAGATTGTTCATATTTGGTATAATATTGGATATAGCTTTGATATGTACAGTCTTTATTAATTTGGAGCATGATATTATTTACAATTTCTCTGGGACTGGTATGTGAAAATGTATAATACCTTTTCTGTATCTATTGAGATGATCATGTGACTTCTGTCCTCAATTTTAACTATATTATATATCATACTTAATTATTTGCACATGTGATTTGAACATGCAATCCACTTGGTCATGGTGTTTGATCTTCTTAATATGGCCTTCAATTTTGTTAAGAGTTTTCCATATATATTCATCAAGGAAATTAGTCTGAATTTCTCTTTTTGTCATGTTGTGTTCTGTTCTGGCATTAGGGTCACATCGGCCTCATAAAATGGAGTGTGAGAGTTTGCCTTCCATTTGTACTTCTTGGAGCATTTTGAGAAATAGTGGTGTTAAAGCCTCCTGAAAAGTTTGGCTGAATTTGCCAGTGATCTTTTCAGTCCTGAGTTTTCTTTATGGAGATTTTTGTCAGCTTTGTTAATCTTTTCACAGAACCAACTCTTTTATTTATTGTGTATTATCCCTTTAGTTCCTGTTTTGTTAACTTTTGCTCTAAGCTTTTTTCTTTCCACACACTGGGCTTAGGTTTGGCTTGTTCAAGAGTCTTCTGGTACACCATTAGGTTATTTGAGATTTCTCTTATTTAAGTACCAGTGCTCATAGCTATAAACTTTCCTTTAGGAATGCCTTAGCCAAATCTAAAAGATCTGGTAGGGTATATTATGCCTGGGATTAAAAAAAATTCCCCCTTGACCTCTTTAATATCCTGCTACTCATTCAAAAATACATTATTTAGTCTCTGAGGGTTTGAATCATTCCTGACGTTTCTCTTGCTGTTTGTTTATATTTTTATTCCATTGTGGTCTGATAAATACAAGGAATTGTCCCAGTAGGGTTTTTGTTTTAATTAATCAGGATTACTTTGTGACAGATGATGCAATTAGTATAAATATCTATATAAATATTGGAATAGTGAAGTCTCCTGCTAGTATTGTGCTGGTACCTATGTGATCTTTTATGTTTTAGTGTTGTATAACACAGCAATATGCAGGGCATACATACTTACAGTTTCTGTAGTTACTTAGCAAAGGTTCCCTTACTTAGTGTGGAAGGTGCCTCTCTCCCTCTCCTGACTAGTTTTGCTTGGATGTCTTCTTTAGCAAGCTTAATAATTGCTATGCTTGCTTATTATGGTCTTCGTTTGATTGGTAGGTTGCTTTTTATCCTTTCACAGTCAGTTTTTGGATACCTTTGCTAGCTAAGTGCATTTCTGGAGACAACAGATAATTAAATATGGGTTTTAAATCCAATCAGTTACCTAGTGACTTATTAGAAAGTTGAGAACATTTTTTCATTTTAAAGTTATTGTTGAGAGGGGCTTGCTATTTCTTTTGGTTGACTAGATTAGTCTTTCTTCTCGTATTGTATTAGCTTTGGATGTCTGCTGGTTAGCTGTGTTGGCCAGCATTGTTATCTTATAACCCCATCTTTGTGTGTTTTAGTGAGGACATGAAAGCCTTCATGTCTTCTCGTGAATGAATCAGACTCAGTTTCCTCATATGTAAAATGTAAGTGAATAATGTACATGCGAATTTGTTATAAGAATGATAATGACTCATGGAACTAGAGTCTGATGGTTGAAAAATGGAAGTCATTGATAGGGGGAATTAAATTTGTGCAACACTCAACAGAGTGATTGATTTGAATGTGGTAAGAGGAGGAATGTATGACAAATATTGGGAGGGGAAAGAAGAGTTCTAAGTCAGATAGAGACCTATTGAACAAATAGCCTAAACCAAAGACTGTGAAGGGGAATATTAGTAGGACTACACTGTGTAGCTGAACTGAGAATGGGAGTCTCGTGGTAACATTAGGGTAGCAGCATAAGCTGTCAGTGGGGCGCCTAGAAAACTGTGCTTTGCAACTGACCAGTTCTTGCGAACGGTGAACAAAAAGTAAAAATGTTTAATGAAATAGAGGTTGTTAATACTAGGGTTTGAAAAATTATGTCTAAACAGAACTGACTCCTCAATATACTACTCAAGTCAGTCTATATGAATATGATGTTTGGTTCACTGAGTACACTTATAATATGCCCTTGTTACTCATTTAATATTTTTATTTATTCCTATCCCATGCTTTGTATCACTTTCATTGATGAATAAATGAATAGTTATATATTTTATTAATTGAATAAATAGTAAAATTCTGTATTTATAGGTAATGCTGCCCACAATGAAAATACATTGTACAGTGGTCCCTTCAACAATAAGGTAGGTTGTATTCATTTTAATTTTTTTAATACAGAGGAAGACTTTTTTGCTGAGGAGCATAAAAATCTTCCATTTTGTCTGTTCTTTAAACTAATATGTATCAGAAAAGTTAGATCAGCATTAGTGTTTTAAAATCCATGTGTAATGTTGGGGTTGGTGACACACATCTTTAATCCCAGCCCTAGCAAGCAGATACAGGAGAATCTCTGTGAGTTTGAGGTCAGCCTGGTCTCAAACTCAGCCACTACAAAGCTAGTTCCATGACAGCCAGGGCTATACAGACAAAAATCCGTCTCAAAAAATAATCCAATGAGCAGTAGCTTAATGAAATTTATTATTTAGAAAAAATAAAGGTAGGACTCTTGGGAAAAAAAAACAGTATGACTGGATTCAGTATGTCTATGAAAAATAAATGTTAGAGGAATTATGAGTAGATCAGTTTTAACAATATAAATTGACTGAAAATTTTATTCAAGAAGTGTAGTCCTTATGGCCAATGTATAGGAAATATATAGCCCCAAAATACTGATTTTGCAAGTATGCAGCATTTCACATCAGAAACAAGAAATTGGTAAGTGCATAAGAAGATCAATAAGCCAGAAGAGCATAACTGAAAATCAATACAATTCAAGACCTTATAGTTAGTGTCCTGGCCACAAAAACCTTTATGAAAACCACATTATGTCACCTATCTGTTCATGTGACATGTGAAATATGCACTGTTATCAAGAGTGATGTACCTTTGGATTTCTTGCTAAAACACAAAATTAAAAGTCCTTGGTAAACTTCCTAATGAAATAATTTTAATTTTCTGAGGTTATAGTAGCCTGTTATGGGAAACCTTTTCCTTGAGAGGAACCTTCCCGCCTGCCTGGTTCCAGATCCGCATCAGTCCCAAATAAACACACAGGAGGCTATATTAATTATGAAGCTGTCGGCCTTGCTTGTTTCTTACTGGCTAGCTCTGACTTAAGTATTTACCCCATAATTGTTAATCTAAGTATGTCTCTTACCGGAGAGGTTTCCGGGCTTCCTACCCCAATGGCGGTTACATCTCGAACTCTCTTGTGTTTTCCTTCCCAGAGTAGCCCTTTCAGCTCCCTTGTTTCAGATAAGTAATATTTTATCATAAAAGTAATTCACACTTTAAAAATGGACTGAAGTGCTTGCATTTGTGGATTTTACGACCTGCTGTAGAGTATGTACTAATGGCCCTTTACTCATTGGAGTGCACAATTGGAGACTGTACGGAAGCACGTGAGTTTATAAAAATACTCTGTCACCAGTCAGTCCTGGTGCGCACTACTAATCCCAGCACTTGGGAGGCAGAGACAGATGGATATCTGTTAGTTCAAGATCAGTCTGATTGACAAAGCAAGTTCAAGGATATCCAAGGCTACTTAGAGAAACCCCGTCTCAAAAAAAAGAAAGAAAAAAAAGCTTTGTCAAACAAAGATCCTTATTTGAAATCTGAAGGAAAACAAGACACACACTCACACACACACACACACACGCACTCACACATTTTAAGCTAAGCTATACTTTTGTATTTTTTAAGTATACTTAAAATATAAATTATATTTACTTTTGAAACCCATTTTTTAAGACAAGAAATTTTGGAATTTCATTTTTTTAAGACTTGAGAAATTTTGAATAAGTGTAAGTTCCTATTGCTTAGCTGTTTGCCCTTAAAATTGAGGCAAACTTTCAGCCTGGCATGATGCTTTGGCCTGTAATACCAGCAGCACTGGAGAAGCCAGGGTCAACCTAGATGACCCAGCAAGATTGTGCATCCAAAGAAATCAAACCCTAAGATTCTGGTGTAGTTGAGCTTTACTGTGACTGTTTCCTTTTAAGATAGAGAATTATCTACCAGTTGCCTTACAGAGCTGTGTTCCCCAGAATTATGAAAGGCAAATGTGCTTTATAATGTTTCCTTGTTGAGCCTTAAAATGGAAAAGCCTTACTTCTGTGTCATTTTTTATTTTTAATTTCTAGCTTCCTACTAGACTCCAAGTTGAAAAGGAATTTGGTTTCTGCTGCAAGAAAGATCATTAAAGAAGGTAAGTTAGTAGTTGTTTCTTAGAAAACCTATACTGCACACGTTATAGATTTCAATTAATCATTTAAGAAATTGGAGTCTTTAAATATTACATTGTCTTCTTTTGAAAGAATAAATGGACATAGTTTTTGAGCTAAAGTAAAATTTTCCTTAGGAAGATGTATATATGGGGTGATTTTAAGCTAGGTAGTAAATGTCCATTGATGATTCACCATCCCCTAATCCATTTCCTCTCATCTTATTTTCAGATTATTATAATTAAACTCAAGAATCACCAAACAGTTTTATGTTGAATGAAGCAAGCCTGCTGGCGGAGTTTCTGATCTCTAGGACTAATCCACATAGAACACAAAGCATGACTTTGGATTCCAGAATGTGTTATCACCACAATTCATTGGTACTGTATTTCTTCAGATGAATATAGCAAAAGATGGAAATCAATATCATTCTCTGAATCCATTCTTTTTGTCACTGAAGCACTTGATTTTTCCATATTGAAAATCAAAGAAATCAGCAAAGTTATATGTAGTCTAGCAAAATTATGGAACCAGACTATACAGATTATTCTTCCTACTCTTTGACACCTTCAAATAAAAATGTATTTTGTATTTGCTTTGTAAATGACAGTCCTCTGTCCTCCTTTCTCACATTTAGAGCCATAATGTTCTTTTTACAACATGTTTCCAGACAGCTTCTTTTATTTAGTGCCTATTTGCTTGTATCCTTGAAATGTATTTTTATTTACATTTTCCTTAGTTGATGTTGTTTTGTTTTTTAGTGTTAACCAAGCATTCTGCTACTGAGCCCTATCTTCATCCCTCTACATTTTTTTCTGAAGTCATGTTAACAACTGATGGTGTGCACCTTGATATTTCAGACATGCATCACAAATTGATTGTATTCATCCTTTACTTTTCTAGAAGGCCATTTTTCCCATGCCTTGCTGTCCCTGAGTCCTTACTAAATGTCCTTCCCTAAATTAAAACATATTTTTACAGCTTGCATTGTTTCTTATTAAGAGCTAAAGACTTTGTCCACCTGTTCCTCAGAAGTGCAAGTTTATCCTAGTCTGATCTCATGCAAAATGCTACCAGCAAATTCAGTGTTTAAAACTATTTCTGATTCTCTAAAACAAGTTTATTGGGATTAACCACAAAATTTTCCTGTATGTCATCTTAACTACCAGACAAACAAATGAACACAAATATAGCTAATTTCAGTAGATGGGAATGATGTAATAGAACAAATATAAATGATTGTTCTTCTAATATTCAAACAGTGATAGGAATATCAACCTAAGGACTTTATTATGTTTTCTGTATCTATTAACATTTCCAAATATTTTAATGTATAGAAGTTTGATCAACTCCTAGTAGAAGGTACTTCTGATTATAACATGCAGAAATTCAATTCAGTTTCACATTCAATATTGCAGAAATGGCGGATGTTACACAAACATTTCTATATGCTGTCTTTATCTTTGTAGATTGTTTCAGGAAAAGATTTAGGGAAAGCAAGAAAAAAATATTGATATACTTTCCAGATCCATTAAATTAAAATGCTTGTATCATCTTTACATAAGATTTCCCACAACAACCTATGATCAAAGTCCACAGTTAAATTACTGACTTTATTCTTTTTAATTTTTTATTATTTAAATTATAAACAAGCTTGCTTCACAAGTCAAACCCAGCTCCCTCTCCTTTCTTTCCTCCCCTGCCCCTCACCAACCCCCCCTAGTCCCCCACCCAATCCCCACTCTGCTCCCCAGGCTCTCCCACATGTGTCCAGGCTGAGAGAGCATCCCTCCATGTGGAATGGGCTCCAAAAGTCCATTGGTATGCCAGTGATAAATAGTGATCTACTACCCAAGGCCCCATAGATTGCCAAGGCCTCCTCACTGACATCCCAAATTTAGGGGGTCTGGATAAGTCCCTTTCTGGCCTCTCAGTCATCAGTCGGGGTCCAAGATCTCCCCTTTGTTCATATCAGCTGTTTCTGTGGGTTTCAAGACCCCTTTGTTCATCACTCCTCCCTCTCTACAACTGGGTTCCAAGAGTTCAGTTCAGTATTTAGCTCTGGGTGTCTGCCTCTGCTTCCATCAGCCACTAGATAAAGGCTAAGCAGCAGTGAGAGTGACCACCACACTGACCATCTCGGGCAGGCCTGTACTCACATGTATGCTGAATGCCCTTTCCCTTCTTATTTTGCTCCATAGCATATATCACTCCTCACTATCTTTTATAGATTTTTTTCATTGCCTATCTCCATTATGAGAATAAAGTCGCAAACTTCTTTTTTTTAAGTTGTTTTGCCTCTATACTCAAGTTGGTGATGCATGAACAAAATGAATGGCTTAATAAAAAGAATGAACAAAAATATCCTTATTATAATCACAAAATTTTTGAAAATTAAAATTGCAATATGACTTTTAGCACCGCATAACTATAATAATAGAGTGGAATCTATGTAAATAGCAAATGGTTTTAGATATTAATTAAACCCTTCGCCCTTCATTCAACAGATGACTTCATGGTAGACTTTTCTATGTACCTTACTGTTATTTAATTTATTAAGTGAAAGAAACAGCTATTAAAGAAATCAGTATGCAACTATCCCAAATGCTAAAACCTACTATAACAAAATTAAAATTAGGAAATACTGGAGAGTGAGAAAATGCAATACTCAACCCAACCTCATTAGGCAACAAATGTAGACAGTGTTCACAATATGTGTGACATATAACACAACATTACAGTATGATCCTCTAGCAAGTCTGTCGGCAATCGCGTTAGCCCAGAAAACAGCAAACTGCATAAATTTTAAATTTCCAAACTTTTCTTTTTGCATAATTTATCTACTAGGAAAAAAAAACAGCAAGATGGAAAAGAAGAGTAATCTGGAACAAAAGACTCTAAGAAGAACATTCAGAGATGTACATATTGCTGACACTGTCTCCTGGCAGAGTCTCCAAGTTGCATACAAATTACTTTGTAGGTAGGCTGCAACTTTGAGCTGACAATGTCTTTTCTTACATCACTGGGTATATGTTCAGCTTCTCTTATTTTTTTCTTTGGTTTTTAGAGACAGAGTTTGTCTGTGTTGTTTTGGAGGCTGGCCTGGAGCTTGCTCTGTAGACCAGGGTGGCCTCAAACTCACAGAGATCCCCCTGCCTCTGCCTCCCAAGTGTTGGGATTAAAGGTGTGCTCCACCAACGCCCGGCTTCTCTTATGTTTTATTCTCTAGACTATCTAAATTTCTGAGCAAAGAAAAGTATTCAGTCCTATTAAAAATAAGCAATTCTATAATCTACCATTCATTTATGCTTAAGGTCATCTATTATAATGCCTATGTCTTATATTTTAATATCAAATTTTCTTTTCCATTCGTTTTGTGGAGTTTCAATTAATTTTTCAAGGATTTATGGAAGTTAAAATCTATAGAAGTGAAAGGACCACCAACTCTCAAATAATTAATAGTTTCTATTTGTAGATTATCCTCCTCCCATTTTCAGCAGACAATGGTTAACTCGTAAGGAAGGAAAATCTGGTCTAGCTTGCATAAGAATTTGGAGATTTATACCCAGAAATTATCTGTTGATATTTGGTGACATGGATGTTATCCTAGAACAGTCAGTGGTCATATTTTGCCTATGTCCGGGTTTCTCTTAATCTTTACCTACTGTCACTGCCATCATCATTTTTAAGCATTTTCTCCACTAGGTGGACTGGTGGTTCTTAGCCTTCCTAATGATGAAGCCCTTTAATACAGTTCCTAATATTATGGTGGCCCCCAATCAAAAATTATTTCATTGCTACTTCATGACCGTAATTTTGCTGTTATATGTTGCAGTGTAAATATCTGATTGGCAACCCCTGGGTAAATGTTGCTCAACCCCCCCAAGTGGTCATGAGCCACAGGTTGAGAACCACCAAGCTATAGTTTTGACCAAAGTCACATAATACAGATTAACTCATTACCATATTACAAAAGAAGGAGTCCTTCTTCAAGTAACTCTGATCTGAACCAAGTCCCTAAACTCAGCCAATCAGAGCCTCCATTATGAGCCTATGATCACTAGTTAAGAAAAGGTGAATCCCACTTTAGCAGCAGAGATTCAACTGGCTATTTCTGTGGATGGCCTAGAAAGATTTTATTCTATCCAGCCCCCAGGAAAGTTCTGTCCCCTGTGTGTTTATCTAATTGAGTCTCTCACCCTTTTAAGACATGTCAAGATAATTTCAGTTTGTACCACACCAATTTTAATTCCCAGAACCTGTGAAGATGTTATTTTTGGCAATACATGTTTTGAAGGTGGTCAAGATAAAATGAGGTCCTATATAGTTCATGAGGTGTATGTCCTCATGGGAAGACAGATAAATGAACCAAAATCACCACTAAAGTATTAGAACTCTATGCCAAGGAAAGTCAGGAACTAATAAAAGCTTCTAGAAGGTAAGGTGATCCAGGAAGGATTCCCATACAGACTGATCAGAGGTAGCAAGGCCCGAGCAATAGCAGGACTCTAGACTTCAGACTTTAGAATAATGGAGAGACCAATCAGCACCTGTTAGCATACAAATGAATAGAAAGCCCCATGCTACATGGGATTGCCCTAAAATGTTAAATATTTATATCTTTTCACTCACCTTTATATCTATGTATTAAAGAGGTGGCTCTGATACCATTGGCTACACCATTTTCTGGATATTTCATATTCACAAGCTAAGAAATACACATGACATAGTAGCACAAAATTTTCAGAGCATCTGTCTACATTTTCATCAAAACTCTGTCATAACTCTGAAGAGTATATAAATCAAAAGAATATTCATAGCATTTTGTCAGCTCTAGTCACACTTGATGGACATGTATAGTGAAGAAATGAAAAGACAAATCAAGAACTCAATAAAAGGAGACTATCCAAAAGGACTTAAGCACTCAATGTTATGGTTTATACATGCATTGTCCCTTCCAGGCACATGTGTTGGATGCTTGATCTATGGCTGGTGGTGCTGTCTTGGTAGATTATGTAAAGTCGGGGATATGTGGCCTAGTTGCGTCCCTAAGGGTGTACCTGGTCTTAGACACCTTCCTCTTTCTCTACTTCTTGTCAGCCAGGAGGTCAATGATGTCCTCCATTACACTCTCCTGTGACTCATCACTGGCCTGGAATCATGGGATCAGAGGGCTATGCTAAAATTTCAAGCAAAATACATCTTTCTTCCCTAAATTGTTGTCGCAGGAATTCAGTCACAGCTGTAACAGAGCTGACTAACACAGCACCGTTATCCTATTAACTGATGAGACATCTATCAGTATAGTTAAAGTGAGAAGTGATTAGATTTTTAGACTGCCTACAGGTTCTGTTATATTTTATTTAGCAAAGTCAAATTTGACTGCAGGATATTTGGGAGAAAAAGTGTGTTTTATAGGTATTGTTTGGTGTTCTAATCTTCTACTGGGACTTTAATTACAAATTAACTCCTCAGTCATTTCAAGTTTTTTTTAACACTTATTTCTGGTACTGCCACTCAACTTAGCAACTGGATAGAAATAGCTAAAAACATCTCTTGGTCTTATATTAGAGTTGGCCATAACAAATATTTATACAAGAATATAGATTGATCCTACACATTTATTGTAGCATCTGCGGTGTGCTTGTTTCTGTAGGACATAGGAGAGGGAAGGAAGGATTTTTATGTTGGTAAACTAGAAATCTAAGAACAACGCTTCCCATCTGGGATTGCTTTGATGAAATGCTGGCATACCCCCTCTCTATTAATTACTAAATTACAGTATCATCATGCAGTGATAATGGTATCCTTGATTTAGACTTATACCAATGAGAATCAATGCTTTTGCATAAATATGGTTGTATTTATTTACTAAGACATTCAGCAAACTTATAGAGTTTATAGAAGAAAGTGCATTTATACATTTAGCCCATACAAGCACAAAGAAGTTATATAAACCCAACATAATTAAAGCAATTTATAT